GTTAGCTATGTGTCTGTGTCGTTAGCTATGTGTCTGTGTCGTTAGCTATGTGTCTGTGTCGTTAGCTATGTGTCTGTGTCGTTAGTTATGTGTCTGTGTCATTAGCTATGTGTCTGTGTCGTTAGCTATGTGTCTGTGTCATTAGCTATGTGTCTGTGTCATTAGCTATGTGTCTGCGTTAGCCATGTACCTATGTTGTTACCTATGTGTCTGTGTCGTTAGCTATGCATCTATGTCTTTAGCTATGTGTCTGTATCATTAGCTATATATCTGTGTCGTTTGCTATGTATCTGTGTCAATAGCTATATGTTTGTGTCATTAGCTATATATCTGTGTCGTTTGCTATGTATCTGTGTCAATAGCTATATGTTTGTGTCATTAGTCCCTACAGGGATCCTCTGACTCCTCTGTGTCCATGGCAAAATGCTTTAATTGAGAAAAAAAAGTTTTTCAATATTATGTCCATGGTAAAAATTGCATTAAAATGTCCGTCAGTATTTGCATTGGTGTTGACCCCTGAGTTCCTGTGTCAGCAATATTAGTTTCCATGTCTAGGTTGTTCCACCCTGTGAAGGAATGTAGAGACAGACAGAGGCGCGAGTGCTGCGCCCTGACTGCTATGCATTTGTTCAATATCTAAATGTTTAACAGAGAAAATAACAAGCAGTTGTATTGAATACAAATATATAGCAAACACAGAGTAACACTAATGCCTCTTCTAAATTCTCTGTGTAAGAGTTTTGAATGTATGTGCAGGAGGACAGTGGACTGCAGGTGAGACGCATCCTTGTTGTAATGCACACCTATGTGTCCACTGGCATACAGATCATCCCACTTGTCATCCCACCAGAAAACACAAAGGTGAGGACAAAAGGGACCTTTTTGTTTCTGGGTGACTGGCACACTAACTCAGTGACACACAGAGTGGCTGAGTGACAGGGTGACACACAGACATGGGAAAACACCTTTTCCCAAAAGGGAAAAGAAGTACTTATTGTATTATTGTGTTTTGATACTAGCACGAGTCCTTCTCATGCTACCATGAGAAGAACTCGTGCTAATGTGTGCGGGACTCGTGCTGATGTGGGAGGGAGTCATGCTAAGGTGGGAGAGCCTAATGCTAACGTGGGAGAGGCTAACATGGGAGGGACTCATTAATATGCAAGGGATTTGAGCTAATGTGTGAGAGAATCATGCTAATGTGGGAGAGACTCATGCTTACATGGAAGAGACTTGTGTTAACGTGGTAGACACTTATGCTAATGTTGGAGGGACTCATGCTAACTTGGAAGAGGCTCATGCTAATGTGGAAGAGACTTGTGCTAACGTAGAAGACACTCCTGTTAATGTGGGACAAACTCATGCTAGTCTGAGAGGGATTCATGCTAACTTAGGAAAATCTTATGCTAAGGTGAAAAAGACTTGTGCTACCGTGGATGACACTTGTGCTAATGTGGGGGAGACTCCTGCTAATGTGCTAAGGACTTTTGCTATTGTGGAAGAGACTTGTGCTAATATGGAAGAGACTCATACTAATCTGGAGGAAATTCATGTTAATGTCGGAAAGACTCAGGCTAACGTGAAAGAGACTTGTGCTAAAGTGAGAGAGACTTATGTTTACATGGGAGGGATTCTTGCTAACGTGACAGCGACTCATGCTAATGTGAGAGGGACTCATCCTAATGTAAGAGAGGCTTATGCTAATGTGGGTAAGACTCAAGCTAATGTAGGAGGCACTGGTGCTAATGTGAAAGAGATTCCGGCTAATGAGGAAGGGCCTCATACTAACATGGGAGGGATTCTTGTTAACGTGAGTGCGACTCATACTAATGTGGAAGGGTCTTTGGTTCCATGTTTCCAAGGGCTGAAAGTTTAGTAAAGTGTAATTTCAGGAAGTGTTTGAAAATGATTCAGGACCAGATGATTCAACACTGAAAAACCGAACCTCGACATGAACGTGGGCACACTGTGACCAATGCATACACTGTGACCAATGCATACAGTGGGACTGTATGCATACACCCAGGGTGAGCACACGTCCACAGGCTCCCGGGCTCACTCCGCCAGCCTGACAATCACTTACCGTCATCTGTGGCGCTCGCTTCTGACAATTAAACAACAGGGGTTCAATTAGGGGGGCAGCATGGGAAGCCGGCGTGATAGCTGATACCGTGATAGCGTCACAGGGCTCTCGCACACGCACACACACACACACACACACACACACACGCACACACTTAGGGTGGGATTAATGCATAGGCGAACATCAGAACCCCACTTTACCTCGAGAAAAATGGACCAGTTTAAATCCGCAACATCTGAATGTCCATACCAATGTTAACCTAGGCCCCCCAGATAAGGTAATCCGCCCCTGCACACACTCACACACATGCAAAGCTTTAGACATATGTGCTAGTAAAATGCTAATAAGACTGGAAACTACGTGACAGTATGTGATCCTGCTAAATGGAGAATCAGGGGGCCTCAACTTTCAGCTTTTTGATTTTAAACAGTGTAAAGCATCAGGACTAAAACAGCTGGTCTCGGACCTCTGTGAGGCATGGGTGACGCTGTCTGTCAGCTGAGTGAGTCTGAGTCTGGGAGTGCAAAGCACACAGAGGCAGACAGCTTACAACTCTCTGTATGCTTATGTCCCCTATGACAACACAAACAGTGCTTCTTCTATTAAGCCAGATGTCCAACACTGCAGCCTTGTTTTAATTCTTAAAGCACTGCAGTGTAGACTGGCAGCCTCTTATTCCACCCAACACGTAAGAGAAATGTGCTTCATCAGTGACGGCATCTGCTTAGGGAAACCTGCTTGTTTTACTTAATGACTAAGCAGCATCCAGTACTGCACACACATATCTAATGTACATAGTTGTTATCAGCTCACAAAAGCACTTTATGTGGTGCTGAGTCAGGTCACATATTTTTTGTTGGAGTATAACCCAACACAGACAAATACACACACACCCACACACACAGACACCCAAGCTATTACAGACATACAGCTCAACTGAGGATCACACTTGGCTCATACTATGGGGCTGGTTGGCCAGCTGATAATGGGGGCACACAAACAGGGACATGATACCCTCAGAGCAGGGGCAGATACACACTGAGATAACCTCACACCCAGGGCAGATGCACAATGAGATACCCTCACAGTGAGGGCAGATATGTACTAATTAACATACATTCACAGCTGGGGCAGATACACACTCAGATACTCTCACAGCCAGGTCAGTTTCACACTAAGAGATACCCTCACAGCCGAGGTAGATACGCACACAGATACCCTCACAACGAGGGCAGATACAGACCGAGATACCCTTATAGACCGTGTAGATACACCCTAAGATACCCTCACAGCCGGGACGGATACACCAAGATATCCTCACAACTGGGGTAGATACGCCCTAAGATATCCTCACAACCTGAACAGATATGCACCGAAATACCCTCACAGCCGGGGTATATACTCACACAGATACCCTTACAGCCAGGGCAGAAACACACTGAGATACCCTCACAGTGAGGGTAGATACACACTGAGATACCCTCACAGCAAAGGCAGATACGCACTAAGATACCCTCACAACTGCGATAGATACACACTTAGATACCATCACAGCCAGGGCAGATACGCACCGAGATACCCTCACAGCTGGGGCAAATACACACTGATTTTAACATAAATGGCAAAAAGTGGGCAAAACTGTGAAGCGTGTTGTAAATACGACTAAAATCGGAACCACGCTCAGTCACATGCCCACAGAAATAACTTTTCTGTGATTGATCAGTCAGTGTCCTTACCATCCACCTCTGGGGGCTTAACTGAACAGAGCAGAAAGAAAGGTGTTACTTTGGATGAACTATAAAGAGGATGACAGATACATAGGCATGCACCCACCCACACACACACACACAGACACAGACAGCCACTCAAACACAGACTTGTACTCATATCCTTGTGGGGACTGTCCATTCATTTGTATGGGCAAAACTCTTATCCCAACATTGGCAACTTTAGCCCCTACCCAGTCCTAACCTTAACCATAAGTAACCAAACAAAATACAAGTCTTTTGGCATTTTTAGTTTTTTGACTGCAATCACAGATTGGTCCCCACGACGTCAAAATATCACCTTTTTATCACACCTGTAATACATACCTGGACCACACACACACAGGCACAGATATACATCCACAGACACACGGAGACACACACACACACACTCCTACACATATACACACAGAGGCACAGACATACACCCACAGACACACACCAACACAGATTTGGCTCACCCTCTGGCTTTGTGCCTGAAGAAAAAAAAGAAGCAAATGATTAGTGTGGAACTTGGTAACACCTGTGCTCAGCCATTTTAAAAATTCACTTTGCTTTTATACCTGTCATGTTTAGAACTTACCAGCAGGTGGTGCTGCAGCCTTGTCTTTCTTAGCCGCTGGGGAGGAAAAAAGACAAAGAAACCATTTAGGATGTATAAAAGATGGGTGAGACCTCCTGTGTTCCACCCTGAAATAGCTCTCCAGCCTCCCAAAGCCACGAAGCAACAGCAAAGTAGTATAGCTGGAGTAAGGGGGAGTGGTCCCATGTGACTCCTCCCACTCGTAACCATAACCCTCCATGGGCCACCTCCAGTCCTTCACCAGCAGCAGTGTGACGATTAAGGACTTAGAGTTATGACTAACAATACAAATTCACATAAATCATAATGAATAAGCAGCCAGCAGGTCAGTTTACTCAAGGTGACATGAGGATCCCCGAGTAGATCCTCTTCTGCTAGCAAGCGTTAAATCAGTACCCTGAAGCTCTCGGATCCCTATCAAGATGATGTGAGGATCCCTGAGTAGATCCTCTTCTGCTATCAAGCATTAAATCAGTACCCTGAAGCTCTCAGATGCCCATCAAGGTAACAAGCAGTGCTTGCTGTCTGTCGCTCCCCCCCCCCCTCCCCCCGGCTCGTCCCATCCACTCTAGTGCTTCTCTCAGCTTGGAATGCCATCCTCTACTTGATGACAGAAGGTCTCCTTCTGTACCCAAGTCTTA